TATTGCTTAGACATTGAGTTCATACATAATCTTGATCAAGGTATTTCCTTTAATTTTTTTTCTGAATTTCATTAAGGTTATCTTATTTAATCTGGCTCTATTGCACTACATTCTTCTATGAAACTTTCCTATATTTTGGAATGATGGATTATATTGTAGTCAAATTTTACATCTCCATATTTTATTCACTTTACTATATTAGGGTTATTTGGCTTAGATTCTTAGGGCAATGATGGAGCAAAATTAGTTCTTCAATACTTTTAATCATGGCCTATACTCGTTTTGGAACTTGTTCAATGATATTAATAGTTTATATTGATTCAGATTGGGCTAGTGCAATTTATCAATCTGCAAGTGGCTCCTATATTTACATAAATTTTTGTGTTCTTTTTAGTTTTTATATGTGAACATTATATAGCAATATTTGCTATAGAAGCAGAATATGTTATAGTTAGTATGGCCACTCAAGAAATCATATAACTTCATAAATTACTTATGACTTCAAACATCCTTTATCACTCCCTAAATCTTTATATTGTGATAATAAATTTATTATTGTTTTGGCCAAATATCTAAATTTTCACTCAATTTTAAATATATTAATACACATACTATTTCTATATTCATGAAAGAAGGTTGCCATTATGGAATTAGTTACTACACAGGATATAGTGGCTAGTATTTTTACAAAGTCTCTTTTGTTATCTTTGTTTTTGATTTGTATATAACTTTTTCTGGTATGATATTTTAAATTAGTTTTTAGTTATTAATTGGCTACAATCAGATTGGTTTCAATATTGTTGTTTTATATAAGCTAGGGTTTCAGGCTAATCAAATATACACATTTTTATAATTCATTTCCATACACTCTATATTATATTTTTAAAGAGAAAATATAAAGAAAATATAAAATTGTGCTCATAAAAGGTGCTTGATAACTCCTCCAGAACAAAAAGCTATCAAGTCTAAATGGGTTTTAAGGTTAAAACTCATGCTAACAGTTCTTTTGATAAGTTTAAAGCTCGGTTAGCTGCAAAAGGATATTTGTAAGTTGTTAGTGTTGATTTTTTATTATTTCCAACTAAAGATTAATCCTTAGTTGACGTGGACTTAAATATGTCCAGATATATTATCAATCACATCGGAAGAAAATAGGGTATAGCGTTGTCAGCCAAGTGGATTTTGAGGAAGTAATATTCGATGGATCATTCATGCATTTGTCCAAACCCAAGGTAGCAATCAAGAAGGAACAGGAACTTTTCCGAGAATAATCTCACTTGTATTGACTTGTCGGTCCAGTGAGTTGAGAAATCTTCTCAGTGGAACTGAATCTTCTTTTTGGTGGACTGAAAGCGCGTTCTTTCGTAATAAAGTCTTCCGAGGTGAGCTACTCCTTTTGATTTCTACAGTGTTTCTTCATTGGCTATGGTGTGCGGATCCGAGACTACTCTTGCTAAGCTGCGTGATGGACGATCTCTTGCTTACATCGAGTATGGCATTGAAAGAAAACTGGCCACCCACAAAGTGATCGTCATCCATGGACTTGCGAGTTCCCGCCACCATCGTCTCCCCTGCTCAGAGGTTCTTTTCCTAAGTTTCCTATCAATCTCTCAGGGCTTTGTGTTTCTCTGTTTGTCCAGAAAGTTGTCAAGGAGCTCGGAGTTTGTTTGGTCGGATTCGACAGGGCTGGCTATGGAGAGAGTGATCCAAATCCACAGCGCTCGATCAGATCTGATGTCTCGGATATCGAAGAGCTAGCAGATCATCTGCAGCTTGGTGACAAGTTCTACATTGTAGCCACTTCCATCGGCGGCTACTCTGCTTGGGGATGCCTGAAGTACATACCGCACAGGTTCTATCCTCTAGATTTTTCTCCGAGTCTTCTGAGAGTTTTTGTACTTTCCAGAATTGCTGGAGTCTCGATGATCGCTCCAGCAGTGAACTTCTGGTGGCCAGGCTTGCCACAAGATCTGTCAAAACAAGCACTTAGCTCTCGAGTGCTTTTGGATAGCTTGATCTTGAATGCAGTCCATCATACTCCATGGCTTCTCAACTGGTGGAGCTTTCCATCCGGTCCTATGCATCTCGACGAGGTAGACATCAAAATTCTCACGGAATCTCCAATCATAAAGGTGAGAACTTTTGCTACAAAACATTCCAATCCATATGACCATTTCTTTTTTCTTCTCAGGAGATAAGTTTGCAAGCTACGCAGCGATCTCATCGTCAATCTCTCAACAAAGACATGCTCCTCCAATTCGGAAAGTGGGAGTTTGATCCGCTCGAGCTCCAGGAGCCCGGAGATTTTCGCGTCTCGATCTGGCAAGGCGATCGAGACTATCCAGTCCCAGTGGAGCTGCAGCGATTCGTCCACAAAAAGCTTCCATGGCTCGACTATCACGAAATCGCGGGCGTCGGCCACTTGGTCGTGCTTGTTCCAGGCTATGGAGACGAGATCATCTCCAATCTCGTGCTCCCTCGCGAAATCTAAACGATTTAAAATTTTAAATTAACTTTCGCGCTCTAGTTTGAGTGTTCTTACTATTTCTCTAGGTCTAGAGTAGAGAGCTCGGCTATGGCGGTAGATCTTCTCGCTTCAGTCGGAGGTATGTGCATTTCAATCCCATCCAGGAATCGCGATCCAGTAGCTTCTCAGGTCCCTGGCCGACAGTGGTGGCGCTAGCCGCTGGAATTATCATACCCTGGATCTACTTGCTGCTCAAGCCGCCGCCGCCCAAGATCTGTGGAACGCGGCGCGGCCCTCCCATCACGGCTCCTCGAATCCGACTTCGCGATGGCCGATACATGGCTTACAAGGAGCAGGGAGTTCCAAAGGATCTGGCCAAGCACAAGGTGATCTTTGTGCATCCATTCTCGGGATCTCGGCACAGCTTGTTGCAAATCTCACAGGTACGCAAGCTACATTTTTGCTAGCGGGGAAAGCTCTTGAAATTCTTCGTGCTTCTTTGCTTTCTGGTGGCCACGAACGAACATACGCAACTATCACAGGAAGTTTTGGAGGGACTAAGTGTGTATATGGTAGCTTTCGACAGGGCTGGCTATGGCGAGAGCGATCCATTCCCAGAGAGAAGCGTCAAGAGTGAAGCTCTGGATATCCAGGAGCTCGCGGACCAGCTCCAGCTCGGGCAGAAGTTCTACGTTGTTGGGCTTTCCATGGGAGGATATCCGTGCTGGGCTTGTCTCAAGCATATACCACACAGGTAAGTAGTTCTATCGCATCGAGAGAGATCGATCTAAGTTCTTCCTTGTTTGGTTTTCTAGGCTGGCTGGAGTTGCTATGATGGCTCCAGTGGTGAATTACTGGTGGCCTAGTGCTAGCAAGGAGATCTCTGGCGAGGCCTTCTCCTCGCGGCCCCTGGGTGACAAGATAACTCTCCGGATCGCTCACTACGCGCCATGGTTGATGCATACCTGGTCCAAGCAAACTTTTCTTCCATCGTTCCTGAATGGCATCGGCAAGGAGAAGTTCATGAACAAGATGGACTTGGAGATCACAGCAGCCAGGAAGAACGCTGGAATTCCTGTAAGTTATTGGGATCACTTTGATTGACTTAGAACTTACTCTCGGTTTTCCTAGCATCAAGAGACCGCGATCCAGCAGGGAACATCCGAGTCACTGCACAGAGATCTCGCCGTGGGGTTTGGAAAATGGGATTTCTTCCTCGCAAACGCCGGCGTTCCAGTTCACGTATTCCAAGGCGACGAAGACAATCTAGTCCCAGTGAGTATCCAGAGACACGTCGCGGAGAAACTTCCATGGATCAACTATCACGAGCTCCCTGGCGTTGGACACTTGCTGGATTTCGTTCCAGGATTAAACGACAAGGTTCTTACAACACTTTTAGCTTCGTGATCGATCGACTTGTTTATAAGTTTCGTGTAAACAAAGACTATGAGGAACACTAGACTATTCCGTCCAAGGCTTGCGCGGGGTGGAATCATCCTCCACTAAACAAAAGCTTGGATCCACCTTTCTCATTTCTTTGAGGCCAAGCTCGTAAATCTCCCGGGAATTGGTCTTCGATTCAAGGTAGAGTTTCTCCATAGCTTCCACCAGTGTCAACTTTTTCCTCCAGCCGTGAGAGTCTTCCATACACTTGAGAATTATCCCCAAGGCACGAACAAGGTTGTTCTTCCTCCTCATCTCATACACTTTCGCAACATCTGTGATCACCTCATGCTCGTTGTAGATTCGCTCGTAAACTTTGAGCAAATTCCTCTCTTCTCCAATCCGAGCGTTTGCCTTTGTATCATCCACCAGGATTGCCCTCTCCATACAAAGGCCCTCCACACGACCCTCGAGAATCTTAGCTTTAAGGGGAATATCCATCACCACCCCGAGCTTGGACAAGGCATGTCCAAATCTCTCCCTGGCAATCGAATCAAGCCTGGAAACCAGCTCCATGCTTCTCTGTACGTGGCCCAAGCTATAGAAATGGATGCAAACATTGGGCATCTTGTCCAGAGCCACTAGAAACTCGAGAGCTCCATGAGCAAACTGGTAAGAAAGTTCCCCCATTACAAATGGCCCTCTTGGATAGAGTAGTGTTTCGTCGATGTCGACGAACACATCCACCCTCTTGGGTCGCCAAATCTTCCTGAGTAGATCCATATCAACTCGCAAACCCTAACCCTAAATTTATAGCGTAGCCAACCTAAAATCTATAATTAATTAAAGGTAAACTTAAAAGCTACCTCATCATGCCACATCAGCATGTGCTAGGGGTCTCTCTCTCTCTCTCTCTCTGTGCTGTCTCATGACAAGTGGATGATCGTACCTCCGTTCCTTGATTCTGGCATCTCGCATTTTTTGGAATGATCTTCGCCTCTCAGGATCGCGGGATCCATACCACAGTTGCGTCCAGCTACTGCGGGAGAGCAGCAGCGCCAGAGCTTTGCTCGCCGGGAAGCGTGTGCACGAATTCATCCAGGAAAGAAGATGGAGCCACGATCGATTGCTGGGGAATCTCCTTGTCCAGATGTATGGAGCTTGCGGCTGCGTGGAGGAGGCCAAGGCTGTGTTCGAGGGGATTCACGGGAGGAACGTTTTCTCGTGGAATCTCATGCTTCTGGCATATGCCCAGAATGGGTATTTTCTGGGTGGAAGAAAAGCATTCGACCAGATGCCCAGCTGGGACGTTGTCTCTTGGAGCACTTTGGTGACGTTTTTCTGCCAAACAGGTGACATTCATTCAGCAAAGAATGCATTCGATTGCATGCCTCAGAGAGAACTTTTGTCGTGGAACACTTTACTTGCAGCAAATGCCAGAAATGGGCAAATACACGACGTGCAAGGGATGTTTGTTCGAATGCCCGCGCACAGCCTAGCTTCGTGGAACTCAATAATCACTCTCGTCTCGGACAGCACGAACGCTAACTATGCAAGCTATATATTTGCGGCAATGCCCAGTCGAGACGAGATTTCCTGGAATTCTATGCTTTCTGTATATACCCAAGCCGGGCATATGGACTCGGCAAAAGCGCTCTTTGATTTTTTCCCTGCATGGAACTTGAGGGCTTGGAACGCGATGATCACAGCTTACGCTCAGATTCCTGCTTGCTCCCAGGACTCGAGACTGACCTTTGAGAGCAGTCCGCAGCGAGACTCTGTGTCGTGGAACGGATTGATCCGAGCTCTTGCAGACGATCACGTTGCTCGGCAGGCCGTGTTTGATGCAATGCCACAGCGAGACGTTGTTTCGTGGACCTCCATGGTCCAGGCGAGCTTGGATCAAGGCTTGTTTGATCCTGCTAGAGAGCTCTTTGATGCTATGCCTTCCAAGAATGTTGTGACTTGGACGATGGTAGTCACAGCGTTTGCGGAGTGGAGCAGCGAGCTTCTGGATCGAGCGGAGTGGATCTTCCACCGGATGCCGCAGCACAACTTAGTGACTTGGAATGTGATGCTCTCGGGTTTCGCACAGAACGGGAAAGTTGACAATGCCAAGCTCATGTTTGAGAGCCTTCCAGCGAGAGATACTGTTTCGTGGAACACGATGATGAGCTCGTACAGTGCCACCGGTGGGTTTCTGGAGGAATCGAGGGACTTGTTCTTCCGGATTCCTCGCAGGGATTTAGTTTCTTGGAACTCGATGCTTGTGGCTCTCGTCTTAAACGATGATCTTGCTGGTTCGAGGACGGTGTTTGATTTGATGCCTCGAAGAGATGTCGTGAGCTGGAAGATCTTGATCCAGGGTTATGCTCAAGAGGGCGATATGGATCGAGCGAGAGGCTTGTTGGAGAGCGGGATTTATGCTCTTGGTTCATCATCCAGTGGACTGATTTGGTCGATCTTGCTTCGAGGATACAGCTCCAATGGCTTGAGTATAGAGGCGTTCGAGCTCTTGAAGAGGATGGACCTGGAAGGTGTCAAGCTCATTAGCAGTTCTTACACTGCTCTTCTCGACGCTTGCTCGGGCCCCGAGTTCTTGGAACTCGGCAAAGAAACTCATGCTAGAGTTTTGTTCTCGGGACTCGACAAAGATCCCTGCGTGGTGAGCTCGCTCATCGTCATGTACGGGAAGTGTGGAAGCTTGCATGACGCGGTGACGACGTACAGCCGGCTTGATCGACCAGACGTGGTTTGCTCCAACTCGATGATCACAGCTTACATCCACAATAGTCGCATGGCAGAAGCTCAGGGCGTCGTCGAGAGTATGGTTGATCCGAGCGTGGAGAGTTGGAACATACTCCTCCACGGCTATGGCCAGAACAGAAATCTCGAAGAGGCAAAGCTTTTGTTCGACAAGCTTCACGAGCGTGATGCTATGTCGTGGAGCTCGATCTTGTGTGCGTACGTAGCAGCCGGTCTTGGAGCCGAGGCTTTGATGACCTTCCGAGAGATGGACTTGGAAGGCTTCAGGCCTAGCACGAAATGCTTGGTCGCTGTTCTAGACGCCTGTGGCTCTCTCCTGGGTGATTTTGCTCACTGCAAGATCGTCCACTCGAGCATAGCCGAGGCTGGATTGGATCGGCTCAAGGGCGTGGAGACCTCGATCATCAGCATGTACTCAAGGTGTGGAAGCCTGCGAGTTGCGAGAGAGATCTTTGACAAGCGCCCTCAAGAGCTTCGAGCTCGCTGGAGCTCGATGATCGCCGGCTACGCTCAAAACGGCCATGCGCGCGAAGCTCTCGATCTATTCAGGCAAATGCTGCTCGACGGAGTGGAGCCAAACTCGATCACGCTCGTCTCGATCATCTCCGCGTGTAGCCACACCGGAGCTCTGGGAGATGGTCTCCGCTGCTTCGGAAGCTTGAGGCAAGACTTCAACATCGTTGCCTCGGATGATATCTACAAGTGCGTGGTGGACGTTCTGGGACGAGCCGGGATGCTGAGCGAGGCCGAGGAGTTCATCTCTGCGATGATGCCATTCGAAGCCGATAGCTGCACTTGGATGAGCTTGCTGGGGAGCTGTAGAAGCCATGGCGATGTCAGGAGAGGCCAAAAGATCGCGGCTATGGAGTTTGAAGCTTGGTCGCCAACTTCTTCCACCTTTGTGCTTCTTTCCAACTTGTGTATTCCTGGGAAAAGTTTATAGTTTGGTGGAGTTTCCAATTGGAAAGGTAGAACCACTGACATCTATTATGACGGAAATAACGCTCCATGAAGAACGTTCTAAAAATCTCCACCACTTGGTTTGGTGAAGATCACGGGCGAGAGAGTTATTATGTTGTCGATTTAGCTGGATACCAAAAGCGATAGCAAGCCTCACCATTTTATTTGAAAAATGAGAAGAGAAAACTTGTTGATCTCAGCTAAAAACTTTTTACTGACTAGCAAAGAGTCATCAACATATAGACATAGAATCATCTCCCACTTTCTCATAAACATTTTTTAAGCTTGTTTTAAGGCTTTGTGTTCCTCACAGTTTCACTTGATAGCCCTTAGACTCTATCTAGAGTTTTTCCTCAAGATCTAGCTGTTTTATATGTTGCTCCACTTGGTTGAATAAATTCATATTTCACCTCGCCCTCATTGTCATAAACTTTGAACAAATTCCTCTCTTCTCCCACAAAATTTCATCCATCACAAGAGAATACTAGGGTTACGCGTCACCGCCTCAAGCTTGCGCCACTAAGAAAGTTCAAAAGATGTGTTAGCCTAATCCTAGCAAAGCCAAACCTATATTAAAAAGTGACGATATTTGTGTGAAGCTTCAAACAAATGACACGCGGTAAATTCTCATTCACCCGTTTAATTTTATCTTTGACCCCGTCCTTTTTCTTTTGAGAGGCAGGCTTTCGCGAGCTCAGTCACGGATCCCTTGGCGACGATTCAGCTGGACCGAAAAGCTTCTCTAGTCCCGGGCAAGCACAGCGCGATAGGTGTGCTCGATCAATCGCTCGCTCCATCGCTCAATCGCGCGCTCTCCGTGCGATTGATTGATGGGTTCTTCTTGCGATGGTGGAGGCGGAGGAGGAGGAGAAGTGAGCTGCTGTAGATCGCCCAAATCGCCCGGCTTGTTCCTCGTGACAGGGATCAAATCCAAGCAGATGCTCGTCTCGCTGCTCGCGATCGTTTGTGGCCTCCTGCTGCTGCTCAAGAACCCATCCTTGCTCGAATCCGAGCGCTGGAGACCCGGTAAGCGCGTAGCTTGTTACCGTGCTTCACATTGCCATCCCTGGATCGATCGAGAGCCTTTTTGCTCTCGATCTTCCTTCCAGCGATGGTCCAACTCACCGATCTTGTGGGCTTGTTTGTTTTTCTGGAGCAGTCATATTCCAGCAGGACCATCACCTGGACCTCGGCAGTGGTACGTACCTTCATGTTCTTCGTTGTCTTCTCTTTAAAACCCTTTTTCTTCTTGTCCTTCTTCCTCTCCCTCTTTGTATTTTAATGGCGCAGCTTTAAAGAATGACCGAGCCGTTCCCATCGCGGCTTCACACAGCTCACACTCCACGAACTTTGGAATCTCCCCATCTATCGACGATGACACCACCAACACAAGTAAGCTCTCAAAGTTACAGAAACTATGGCGATAACTTTGATCTCGCAGATGGCAGTGGTGATCGCTGCGATTTCTCGCGTGGGCGATGGGTTTTCGACGAGACAAAGCCGCGCTACACTGGCCACCACTGCCGGGCATGGCTTTCCAAGCCCTGGATGTGTAGATTGGATCGACATCACAACTTAAGTTACGAGAGCTACCGCTGGCAGCCGCGCGGATGTGACTTGCCAGGCTTTGATTCCACACAGCTCCTCCACAGGTCAGTACACAATCATTTCCTCCACTTCGCTCGCCACGGGTACCGCGCGGTACCGCACGCTACTGCGCATCACAATCTACCGTGCTGTACCGCGCGGTGTGCCGTGCTAACGGGGCCGTGTCTAGATTGAGGAACAAGACGATAGCGTTCGTGGGCGATTCGCTGGGGCGGCAGCAGTACCAGTCGATGATTTGTATGCTGGTGGGCGACGCTTCCATGCCCAAGATCACGGACGTTTCGATCGAGTATGGGCTGGTGACCAAGGGCGAGGGCGCGCAACGATTCGCCGCCACCAACACGACGGTCCTCTTCCACTGGTCGGCGTCGCTGGGCGATCCGCAGCCCCTCGAGGCCGGGCTATGGGCGCTCCACCTCGATCGAGCGCCGGGGTTTCTCGCCAGGAACGCGCAGAGATTGGATGTGGTGATCGTCAACACTGGTCACCACTGGAATCGGGGAAAGATCCGCGCGAACAAGTGGGTCCTCCATGTCGATGGCAAGGTCGCGAATTTGCGAGTGGATGCCGCGAGGAGGATCGCGCTGACGAGCGCGGCGCGGTGGCTGGGCGAGCAGCGGGAGAGGATCCGGGGATTCGTGAGGAGCTTGTCGCCCAGGCACTTCCGGGGCGGGGACTGGAACTCTGGCGGGCGATGCGATGGGATTCGAGAGATCGAGGAGGAGGAAGAGCTTGGCGGGGATTTGATCGCCCAGGAAGCCGTGAGGAGCACGAATGGAGCAGTGACGCTGCTGGAGATTAGCAATCTCTCCAGGACGAGGGGCGAGGCTCACATCTCCTCGGCATTCGTTGGATCGTCCTCTTCTTCTTCTTCATCCTCTCCCAGGCAGCAGGATTGCTTGCACTGGTGCTTGCCCGGCGTCCCCGATACTTGGAACGAGCTCTTGTTCGCCCATCTCATCGATGATCGTGCCCCTTGATTCTTTCCACGCTGGGATATCGCAGTTTTCCTCGCAGATGGAATGATCTGTGCCTCTCGAGCTCGCGGATCCGTGGGGAATCTCTTTTTCCGGATGGGTGTATGGATCTTGCGGCTGCGTGGAAGAGGCCGAGGCCTTTTCTCGTGATTTTAGAGCGATCACGTTGCCCGCGTTTGATGCACTCACGGATTGTTTTTGGAATGCCCAGGAAAAATCAAATGCAACTAACATTGCCCAGTGGAGACGATATTTCTTGGAATTCTGCAGTTGCTGCATACGGGTATATATGCTTTTGGCATATGCCCTCTTTCCTGAGAGAATGTTCTCAGGAACGTCAAATCTTTTTCGTGTGTGCTTTCGGTTGCGGCAAATACGATGAGATGAGGACTCTGAGAGGAGCTTGGTGTGATCGTCAAGTCCTCAACTCCCAAAGAAATCAAAGAGTGATTTGAGAAAATGCCTGGGCCCTTTGGTTCCATCTGGGGCTCTGGATTGAGAACAAGTGAGAGAACGTGCAATTCTGTAGCTCCGTACTTTTGTTCCATCCCTTGGCTCAAATGCTTTTGTTTTTTGCGAAGTGGTGAATCAGGATCCAGCTGAAATTTGGGAAGCTCAGATGTGTCGGGTGACGCACAAGTAAAACCAAACTGGCATGCCAGCTTTTCGATCAACCTGGACTGCAAAAAGCGGCCACAGCAACTCAACGCCGTTGAGCAAAACTGTTTGGACAAGAACACCATCGTCAATTGCCTTGAGCAGTGTGTCCATGTTGAGAACTGGAGTTATGCCATTAGGCCTTGTGCCCTCGTGTCAAAGAGTATATGTCGAGCACAGGCTCTCTCAGCACTTCTTCATGCTCGTATATGCACAGAGAACCCTCTGTCTTTGAGAAAACTACGTCCCAGTCAGAGCCATACTTCGAGAGCATCGACCGTCAGGTTCCTGTTTCCTTTGCTTACGTCCCACTTAAGAGGTGCTTAGGACCTATAAGCCTCGCCAACCGTGGTAGACCGCACAGACAGAAGCTCAGTGTCCCCTGCATTGTCGCTGCAGATCAAATCCGATACAGTTGCTGCACCGAAAGCCACTGGTGTGGAATATCTCGGTCAGCCTGGATGCATCGTCCACTAACCATATCACCCGTTTCCCTGCGTGACGCAATACGTCTGCCACTCTATTCCACCCGGATGATGGTGCCTTGAGCTCGCCATCACTTTCCTTCACCAATTCATCCAGTAACGGAGCGAAAAACTCCCGTGCCGCTTCTAGCTCCATCTTGTTTGCGTACTTGACGTGCATATTCTCAAGATTACCAGGTAACCCCTCGTCAGCTCCTGACGAAGTGCTTTGAGCAAAGTCATCTTTCCGGATTGCCAAGCTCCTGTCAGCGTAAGTTGTTGACAAGATCATCCAGATGAGGCCATGGAACGTAGTAATGTGCCGAAAGATTCTATGCACTTCCAGAAAAGAAATCCTGTCTTTGCGTTCGCGAGCTTCTCCCCCATACGATTTAGCCAAACACTTGGGAACCTTTTTATTTTACTAATGTTTTTCTTTCACCGCCTTCGATATTGCAGCTATTGGGTGCGAGAGCTTTTCCGGGAAGCGCGCAGCTTTGCTATGATCTAGTGGCTGCTTGGGAGGAGCATTGCCTTAACCACGGACGAGCTGGTTTCTTTTGATATTAAAAGAGGTTTTCTCGTGGAACACTTTACTTGCAACGGTGGGCAAGTTTATCACTGGCAACGATGCTAAAATCTTGCCTCAAGCTCTCAAAGTAGTGCAGCCCATCGGCTAGGAGACATGAACGAGACAAGCGTGATCAAGTTACCTTTCGATGCAATTCTGGCCGATAGTGTCAGGCAAACTCGAAAACATAATAGCAGCTGATGGGTCGCTTGTATTCATGCTGCATAAGCTCCTCAAACCACTGGTGTGCTAGACCAAGTTCCACAACATGAAGCAGCCCAATGTAATTTGCTTAAAAGCCAAAACTCACATTATTCATTTAGATTAATCTCATATTTATACCTAATAAATATGTAATAATTTCTAAACTTTCTTAAGCACCTCTTAATATATTCTAGTTTATTCTAGATTGGATTTGTGGCCATAAATAATCATAATGTTACTTCTTTGATCTAATGTATCAAAATAGTTTTTATGGAAATTAAATCAATTAAAAAATAAATTTAAGTTTGAAAACAAGAAATATTTGTATATATTGGTCATGCTAGTGTAATCTTGTAAAAATGATAATTAAAAAAAATCTATAAAATCATCACATCAATTAATAGATGATCTTTAATGCAAAAGCAAATATTCCTATTAAGCTTCATCATAAAATGAGGCCCCAAGGACTTTGAGACTTATAGATAACATATTTTTCCAACATCTTTTAGACATTTGGTCATAAGATCTTAATTTCATTGGATGATATGTTGCAATTTTAACCCTAGATAACAAATCAAGATTGGGGAAATTAGTATACTTTTACCTAAGTTAATCAATTGTCACATTAGAAGGACTATCTAAAGGATTTAGAGAGGGAATAAAACATAAAGGAAACAATTAAAAAAATGATGTGATGGAAGTAAAGGTAAAAACAAAAAGATGAAACCTCAAAATCATATTTGGCATTTTTGTGCTGTAATGAATTCATACCAAATATAAAGTTCAAAACCTGACTTGGCAGTACTCACAAGGAGTGGATCTCATGCTCAAGATCACCTACATGCATAATTAGGTTTGCTCATTCTATGTATAGCTGTTGCTATAGAGAATAAAGATTAACTTTACCACAAAAATTAAGATTGAAAAATAACCACTAAATGAATTTCTTGTGAATATGACTATTAGTATCAAAATTTACTTGAAAGTTACTTGTTGGCAAAAAAATTTTAAATGTTCTTTTTTTACTACTATAATAGTAGGAGGCTGGTATTTCTTAACCTTTTATTAATATTTAATTAAGCTAGTTGAGAAATTACATTTGGGCCAAATAAACATAATGTAAAAACTCTCATATGTTTCTTATTGTACTTGGATTGGATGAGAAACTTATATATTAGTTTGTATTTACTATTGTTGGAAACCCTTATAATAATAAGCTTAGTTCCTCAATATTTGCTATAGCTTACTATGTTTATTAGATATTCTCACTATGTGTTGGTCTTGTTTTGGTCTTAATAGCTATTTATGAAATTTACAATTTAAACATATCTATAAAATATAAAAAATATCCTAAATATGATGGTGTTATTTCCTCATAATCTAACACCATTCTATATAGCATGTTTATCTTTGTTTTGCATTCAGCTTAAGTCTAAGCTTAAACTCTATACCATGCTAGCTGATGAAGTACTCAAATCCTTGCATTAATCCACTAGTATGTTAAAATAATGCTAAACACTATTTAGTGTTGTTTAAAGCTACTTTTTATCTCCACATAAAATACAGAAATGTGTATATTTAATTAGCCCAAGAACACTGGTTTATATATAGAAACAAGTGGTCTAAATTAAAATTAATCTAATGGCTATCAAAATCTTACTATGCTAATATTAGTATACTACATTGTACAATTCTACATATCATCCTCCTTAACCCAGCATTGATTCTACTTTTAGTAAGAATGGATTAAGAAATATGAAGGGAAGATTAAAAGATTTAGCATTTACTTTACTACCTTACATTTATAATATGACCTTTCTCAAATGTGGAAAAGAATCAAGGTGATCCATGGGAACACCACACTATTTCCAGCCATCAATGCCTTGTCTTAGAATGTATTAAGCAAGATAATAATTGGCAAAGATGTTCCACATGAATTATGATAGCATTACAATTGAGGCACATTATTGAGTTGGGATCTCACATAGATGATCTTGGGTTACTTGATAAAAAAATATTCTAAATAGAAACACCAATGCTATAATGTTATTACTATCACTTAGTGACTTATGTTGTATTATTAATTAAAGATTAAATAATAACATTTAACATATTATTAATATTTATTTCTAAGATTTAAAAAAACTAAATATTATTGTAAGTGTAACAAAATTTTGTTTTTTGAAAGTATATCTGTAAATAATTAATTCAATTACACTTACGAAAGACTCATCTTCAATGTTACTGAATTAACTTGAATGAAATAGAAAATCTCAAAATCTTTTGAATAGAATAAACACTTATTTTCTGGAATTCAATGCATTTGCCATACCTTATAGCTTCTAGAACTTCTGGAGTTTTCATGAACCTTATAAAAGGGTCATATTGCTCATATATGAGTAGAGGTATGGACATTATGGATGGAATGGACATATTAAATCTAGACAAAGACATGAAGACTATTATTCCTTCTAACTTCATAAAGTTTATGATTTGAATTATTTAATGAAGGGGCAGATTATTTTAGGAGCAAAAATAAGCTTTCTTCATTATTAGTATTTTGCCATCTTACTTTTGCTCTACTTTAGCAATTTCCTTTTCTATATCACTACTGGTATAATCATCTCTTGAGCTCAAGTCTACTATCCTATTGTATGCATCCCTACAAGTTATATAAATTAGAGATTTCTCATGTATCCCAAAAGCAAACTCTTGCATCAGTAGTTGTAAAGACATTTTTTCCTTAATAGCCATATATGATCTCATATAACCATCCTTTCATAAATATCTTTTCAATCCCTCTAACATTTTTTATTGTTATGACAAAAACATAAAAATCATTGATGACTCAATGATAGAGGGAGTGACAATTTAATATGTGAATATCCTAAAAAGATATATATATTAAAATTTTGTTATAACATTCTTATTTATTTGTAAATATTTGAATGTCAAGTGATATTAATTTCTCAAATTATCATTTGTATAACTTTCTTATTTGGCTATAACATTCAATCCAATTCCTTCTGAGAAGTTGTAACACTAATAATGGCTATACATTTAATCTTTCTCTATAATGCAATAATGTAGCTATAATCAAAATATTTATAATGTTTGTAGTGGTGATATTAGCATACTATAATTAACCAAAAGAACAACTTGAGAGAGCATCCATTAGAGATTAAATATAAAAGGAAAGAGCCCATAAATAAAAGTGTAACCTTTTTTTCTATTAGTTAAAGGTTTTGGGATATTTAGAGTTAACTGTAATTATATTTAAGTTGTTATGGGTTTTTCAAAATTTAGGAGTTTACATTTGGTATCAAATAAGACTTAGATTCAAACTCTATTTTACA